AAGTATTTAAATCCAGTTTTTTCAAGTTCGGCATGAATAACACGCACAGCTCAAGTTAAAGAGTCCTGTGACCTGATATTCTAAGCACCGTCTTTAAATTTGATTAAGGAGCAGAGGCAAACAGGCAGTCTTTGCAGCAGGGCCTTGTAAATAAACATGATAGAGAGGACCCTTCCTTTTCCATACACGATGCCACAGCGAGTAAGAAAAGAATCGCCTGTAATAAATCGTGATGGACTGTGACACAGAATCGAGGCTTCCAGGTGGATAAGAAGCATGCATACAAACAATATCACCGTAATCAAGTGCAGACAAAACAGTGGATTGTACACTGATCTTACGACCTGCGAATGAGAAACAGGATTCGTTTCTGTATAAAAACCCATTAAAAGGCCCTTTATGCTGTTTCACTTTTCTAAAATACCCCTGTGATCTTTCAAAGCCCAGCAGGTGCCCATCACTGCAGGAACCCAGGCAAGTGTGGTAGTGGGAACGCAGACGGGTCCCATGACTTTGTCGAGGTCCTCGTTGATTTCTGTCTACACTGCCCCATAAAATATACACAGACATTTTTACTGATGTCAGAACAGGTCAAACAATATGTAAGGGTTAACTGGCGGGCGTTTATGCTAATTAAATCTACTGGAAAACCAAAACCTCTTGTTTCCTGAAGATTTCTCAAACTGATGGATCCATCAGGAGAAACTTGGAGTTCACCATCTAATTCAACATGCATACTGGAGGAGCTGGGGATCAAACCACTGATATTCTGATTGGTAGGTGCCCCATTCAGGGCAGGGATAGCTCAGTAGGTAGAGTGGTGGCCCCATGACTGGAAGGTCGGGGGTTCAAATCCACTGAACGGCTACCCTGAGCAAGATACCGCCCCTACACACTGCTCCCCGTGTGCTTAATTGCTGCCCACTGCTTCACTGAGTGAATGGGTTAAATGCAGAGAGGATTTTCCCCACGGGGATCAATAAAGTATACATTATTATTATTCTAACACCTGAGCCACAGCCCCATCCAGTGATCAGAGAATCCCATTTTCCTGAAAAATTACACTTAAATTTAGTCTACAGGCTCCTTGTGTGTAGAGTAAATATTGTATTTTTCCTACTGTCTTCTTAAGGAACGTCCTTATATCAACACGTGGGCCTTTTTTCCTTCTTTTTCCAGTGACAGATGTAAACAGGCAAAAGGGAGAGATGCGGGTCAGATAACATGCAAGTGCATGAAAACTGTGAACACTGGAGGAGTGAAGGAAAAGAAAAAAGAAAGATGAAAAGAAATTATTTTGTCAAAAATCCCCTTTCATCTCCGTCAGTGTTGCAGAAAGCGCACGGACAGAGCTGAACCTATTTTCTTAAACTTCACAGGGTGCCACTTTCTCTCTAAACTCCTCTCTGTTTTGCCTTGCTTTCTTTCTGTACCTTCCTCCCCTCTCTTTCTGACCCTCTCTCATCCTGAAAGTGGAGTGAAAGCCATTTATTTCACATCAGACCCGCTTTATGACTGCAGCCGCTTTGCATTCATGCTGGATGGTCTGCCTAAAAGGCTTTCTGACAAGGCCATGAATACGCTTAGTGGCTTCTCACTCCTTGTTTCTCTCTGCTTGGCTGGACAGTGATGCTGATATTAGCTGAACTCTGACGCAAAGTCCCGATCACCCTACTCATACTCGTCTCCTGTTCTGTGCCGCAAGTAAAGCGGCAAAGACAGCCTAGAGATGCAGCATGTCATCATTTTTCGTTGCCATTATCACATTCAGACATCTGCGATTCCTGGAAGGTGGTTAAAGAGACTTCTTTTCTTTTCCTGTGACAAGTGAGTGTGTAATATAAAACAAGCTTTAAACAGCAATGCTAGCTTATTGAGCTCAAATAGCCAGGGCTAACATGCTAATATTTAGAAGGAATAATTTCCAGCTTCATGTAGGATCTTTAATTTAGTTTTACTGTCATTTGCTGTGAAATGGTGAAAAAGAACACATGTATATTACTAAAATATCTCTGAAACATACTTCTATGTCAACATCTACTTACTATGATGATCGTAGCGTGTGTGTGTGTGTGTATATATGTACCTGTATGTACCCGTACCTCCTTAACCCTTTATGACCTACCATAGAACCAAGTCCGCCAGAGCTTATATTATATTTTTACATGCTGTAATGCCATTTTTGGGAGCATTTCAAGTTGCTATACATCAATACAACCATTA